AAAGAGGGGTTCTGTAGCTTAAAGTTACTCCAGAAAAGCATGCTGTGGGTGCACTACACCATCCTTATAACATTGCACCACCTAACACACAACTTGCATTATCCTAATGTGTGCTTCCATTGCTCTGTGGGGAACGGGTCAAACTTAAAAGTATGGGATGGGATACACTTACAGAATCACATGAAAAGTGAAACTAGTTGCACAATGCTTACACCAAAGAGAAATCTGCTTGCACAACTTTAATCACAATAATATGATCTTTACAGAACATCCAAAAATACAACTACTGGCATAAGGGTTATCAACAGGCTTCTAGCCAATATTTCAATGGAAGCATTTTGCCACCTTATGGGGCATACATTTTGTCAATGTTTCTACATGAAGCAAGATGTTTGAAATGTCCCTTTGCTAGTGATGGAAAGAATATTTTAAAATATTTGAAAAAAATGTCTGAGAAGCATGTTTCTGGGGTATTCGGAAACTCTAATGAGGAGAGACTCCTTGACTGATGAGAATCTTCACAGTTCAGGACTTACTCTGTGCAAAATTTACACCTTTTCCCCCCAAAGAAAACAACATTTACTATGCAGGAAACAGCATTTTCTGCATAGAAAGTAATACTTCAGTCTAGAACATGCCTTCTTGCATGTATGTGAATTTTGCGCAGAGTAAGTCCTGAACTGTGAATAGTCCTTGAGAATTGCCTAGTTTTCAAGGACTTTCTTGTAGCTGGAAGAAAATTATTCAAACTACTTGTTCCCTATCCTTTGCCAAGACAATGTTCTAAAGCTTAGATCCACTTCAGCATGAAAATATACAGTAAGTGCCACTGGCATATGCTCCTGTTGCCACTCCCAGATTCGCCATCGTGTTCAAAGGGAATGCTCCTCATGTGAATGTAGAGAAGAAGGGGGCTAACTTATGGCAACTTCCTACTTTAAAATATAGCCATGAGAATGGGCAAGTAATAGCTTCTCCCATATCCATACATCAGGCTACTTGCTTTCTACCAGTCTGCTGAAAGTCCTCGTCATTAGTAATGGCCAACAAACTGACCCTGTTGTAAATCATCATTACTTCACTGAGTTACAAATCCAATATACTTAGGTTTGGATAAAAGCTACAAAACCACATTTGCTCAAAACAGGACTAACCTTGCTCCTGGAAATATTGCTATGTGGTAATGTAATATTCTTTCCTGGGAATTTATGGATTATTTTTGTAAGATGGCTGCCCTTAGGGATGAATGGCCTGCAATCATATAAGCACCATTTCCAAGCAAGATTCTGTTTCTGTTTGAAAGCATATGACACAACCACACTTAACACCTCTCTGAAAGTTGTTGTTGTGTGTCTTCAAGTCATTTCTGACTTATGGTGACCCTAAGATGAACCAATCGCAGGGTTTTCTGGGGCTGAGAGTATGTGACTTTTCCAAGGTCACCCTGAGGTTGGGAGGCATCTGAACAATGGGGTCTGGTTCCATCCCAACTGCAGTTCGCTATGGAGAGAGGGAAGAGGAGAGTGACTATCATCTGCCTTTCCTTGTTCATGAAGAATTGGAGAAGTGTTCCTGATGCTTGGTCATCTGTCTCTTGGCTCCTTAAAAGCCATAAGAATGCCCTCCCAGGGCCAGGCAGCTGTTGGAGGACACAGAGGTCCAGAGCTGCATGTATGGTCTAGATTGCATTAGGTCCCCAGGATGGAAAGATATGCAAAGTGTGAGTTTTATGGCAAGAGCTGGGTCAGGGGGAAAGTGTGCATCCATGTACTTTCTTTGTGTGCCCAGGGCAGGATCGCTTCAGAACCCAAACTTAAGAGGAAGATGCATTTCCTATGCATTTGTAAAACCGCGACTCAGTGCTTTTGCTTCTTTTTCCTTCCCTTTTTTTTGCCCCTGCAGAGATATACAGCTTAGAAAAGATAAATTGTATTCTGAATCCAAGGGTATTGCTACCACAATTTTCCCTTGTTATCAACTTACGCTCCATTTTATTTTTAAAGGATTCCTTTTCTCCCTGTTGCTATTAACGCCAGGAGTTTTTCCTCTCCCCTTTCATGCCTTCTCTGGTGTTTTGCTGCTATTAATCTATGTCAAATTCCTCTCATCTTCCACTTACTTTGGGCTTTTCTGCTTTTTTTAAAAAAACCCTTCATCTATAATCAACCACCTTGTTTTTGTAGTTTACTCTTCAAAACGGAAAAGAGAATGGAAAGTTTCTCTTCAATATCACCACATCTTTTCAATTTCAGGTGTCAAACTGGAAACTTCTTTATTGATGAAATTTTCTAATCCAGGATTTGCATTAATCCATCTCCTATTCTGGCAGAGGCTGAACAACAATGAACTTCTTTTGCTATTAAACTATCACTAGAAAGGTGACACAACAGTTTCTCTCTGCCTAAAAAAACCTAAAGCACAGAAATGCATCATACAACAAAGAAGTTGTGACAATAGGACAATTTGTACCTAGGGATGGAAAGAAGACCCAAAGATATTTGAAAACTGGTAAAAAATAAATGTGTTTCTTGAGTGCTTAGAACCCCTGACAAGAATAATCCTGGACAGATGAGAATCTTTGCAATGTGGGTCTTATTCTTCAAAGCATTTGCATGTTATTTCCTGCATGGAAAAATGGTGCAGTTGGGAATTTATTCTAAGCAAAATTCACTCATGGTTGTTTTGTGCTGAAAGCATCATTTTTGATGCACGAGACAGCATTTGCTGTGCAGAAAGTAATATTTGTGCATTGAAATATTATTTTGCACACAGAAATGCTAAGAAAATTCTATTTTCTGTGCAATAATATATTGTTTTCTGAACAAAAATATCAAATGCAAATTTTGCATAGAATAAATCCCAAACTACAAGTAATCTTTGAAAACTGTACAGTTTTTGAGGACCTTCTTGCAGCAGAAAGAAAATTGCTGAAATTACTCATTGTTCCCTTTGAGATTAGAGAAGAACTGGAGCTACATCTCTACCTTTTGTCATGGTTTTGTCATTGCTACTGACGTGCAGTTGTTTGCGAATAGAGCAAATGCCAGTGGATCATGTTGGCTGGGGACTCTGGGAGTCATAGTCTAAAGAAAAAATATTCCGCAGGTCTGGCCAAGAGGAGAATCTCTGATGTTGTTGGGATTCATTGGTGACTCCTACAGAATTATGTGCTAAAAATGGGTGTGCCATTTTCAATAGGGCCACATTGCAGAGGAAGCTGTGGGTGCAAGGTTTGGCTCAAGGATCTTTGCCAAAATTACACATTTGCACAGATGGAAGGCAATCCACAAGTTGCACCAAGGAAGACAGTACCCCCCCCCCCAGGGAAATCCACGTCCCATGGCCTGTTTGCAGGCAGGGTGGCTCCCTTGCAGCAACTGGCTCCATTTTTGCTTCCAGTCAATGAAAGGAAATGTTGCTTTGCTGCATTCATGGAAATCCTGGAAAGCCATGTCTCTTAATTCTTGGGTGCAAATCTGAAGTCACTTGCTGCTCAGGCAAACTTTCTGGTGGCTACTGCATAGCCATAGGGTGAATACTACCTCCTGGGTTTCCTGAAGCAAAATATGAGAATTATTTTGGGCGAAAATGGAAGCATTTCTCAACAGAGGAGTGCAGTTTGTCAATGGAGACAGTGCACAGGGGAAAAGGCAGAAGCTTCTAATGATTCCCAAGTCAATAGGCTGGAGAACCTGCAAAAAAACACAATCCCTCCCCCCCTTTAAAACAGTATTAAATCCCACAATAATTAAAACTACTATATAGTCTACAGGTAATCGAAAGCCATACCTCTGCATTTTGAAATTCAGCACCGCAAAGGGGATGGGAGGTGAAAGAATGTTTAGCAAACTCCCAACTCCAGATGGCTTGAGCAAATGTCAACCCTAAACTTGAAATGTTGCCCACTTTTTTGTTTGTTTTAACTCTTCACTCCATTAAGCTTTGAAGTCATTAAGAGGGGTCAATAGCAGACGGGAGGAGGAGTGACCAAAAGCAAGAGGGAAGTGTAGGGAAAGGGAAGTACATTAAAAAATAAATGTCCCCAGAATATTCGGCAAACATCCATTACAAAGGTCGATGAACTCATAAAGCTGCACCGGCAGAGAGCCAAGTGGGAAAAAATATACATATGTAGCACTCAGAGAAAACTATTTGTTCTGACCTAGTTCTTTTACAAACTAGATGAGGAAAGCATCTGATACAGCAGAAGGATCATCCAGATATCTGCAGCCTGATGAAAGGCTGGGCTTTTGACCTCAAACCTGCTCCTTCTACACAAACTAATCTGGGTTTGGTGAGGATGACCTGACATCCAAAGTGACTTTCCTCACCATGGTTTGTTCTACATCCTGGTCATCACATTGTATTCTGTGGAATATGTGTATGGTGTTTGCACCATGCAACCCCCAAACCCTGAACCAGGTCTGGACTGTTTTCAGCATGCTCTTGTGCTTCCACTCCTTGTTTCACATTTTAAAAGCTTCCCTTTTGCTCTGGGTTTCCCAGAAAACTCAGAGGAAAATGCAACAACGATGGGTAGCAAGGAGTGACTGTCAGTTCCTCAGCACCCCTGCTGAGTTGCTTTGTGGATTCAAGTTACTCTGGGTTTGTCTGAGGTCAGAACAAGGCTGGGCACCTTGTTCTGACCTCAGAGCAACTCATGCCCACGTTGGTGATGGTGGTCAGCTCATGGGGACCATAGCCTCCTGTCATCTTCACCAGATAAGGGCATGGGATGAACTCAGGGGGAATGCATGGGCCAGAATACTCCAGGGGGCAACCCAGAGTATCCTGGCAAGTGTAGTCAAGACCCAAGTTGTCACATCTTCTTATGTTATTGTTGCTGTTGTATGCCTTCAAGTCATTTCTGACTTATGGTGACTATAAGGTGACCCTATCATGGGGTTTTCTTGGCAAGTTCCTTCGGGGGGGGGGGTGCCATTGCCTTCCCCTGAGGCTGAGAGTGCATGACTTGCCCAAGGTCACCCAGTGGGTTTACATGGCTGAGCCGGGATTCGAACCCTGGTCTCCAGAGTCACAGTCCAGTGCCCCAAACACTACAGCACACTGCTCCAGTTCAAGGCAGATTCGCTGTCCTATGGTCATGGGGAAATATTGCTGCCATTGGTTGGAAGGGATGTACATTCCTGGCTTTAGTCAGTACACTGCCTGCATTTGTTGTAAGGGATGTTTTAATTTTTAAAAGCAACACAAATCCTCCCACTAAGATACTGGGAGGGAAATATAGCAGACGAAACGAGATTACGGTTGTGCTACATAGCTAATCAGTTCGTCCCCCTCGAGGAGTAACCTTAAGCTGTTCCTGCTCACTTATATCCTTGTTTCTTAAAGGTAAACAAGACCCAGGTGAACCTCCAAGAACAGATGTAGCAGAAAACTGAAAACTTGGCTTCCTCTTCTGCTTCAGTGATCTTTAAACAAAGGGCCGGGAGGGGGAGAGAGTGTTTTTCTTTTATCTCTTCACAACAGCAAGTATGTCTGCTGGGAGAAGAATGAGGTGAAAGATGCAAACCAAGGCAATTCTGATAAATCTATGAGTAGGAAGAGTATTTGGAAATATTCAAAGCATGGTGGAAAAATGCAGTTCTTGAGCATCAGGAAACCCTGATGGGGAGAAACTTGAATTGATGACAATCTTTGCAGTGGTGTCTCCCAACTCGGTGACACCTGGTGCGTGGGGGGGAGGCTTCTGGGAAGCAGGGCTTCCGGCACACATGGCACAAGGGAGCGTGTGCATGTGTGCACAACTGAGAATCGCACATACGTGCCACGCAGCCATGTAGCAGCCCAGAAAACCCGGCAATGGCCTGGTGAGTGGCCCCCGTGGCCCCACAGTGGCCCAGAAAGCCCCATGGCAGCCTGGAGAGTGGGTCCAAAGCTCCAGGAAGGCCCCATGGAGGCAGGGGACCGACTGGGTGTCACCCCCCCTTCTGGAGTGTCATCCAGTGTGGCCTGAACACCCCCCACCCCATTATGCTACTGAATCTTTGCAATTTGTTACTTAGTTGTGAAATTTGCATATCACTTTTTGCGTAGAAACCAGCAAATTCTATGCAGAAAACAACTTTTTTCCCCTCGTTCTTTCCCATTTGGAAAATTCTGCTTTCTGGGGGGAAAAGTGTGACATTTGTGCAGAATAGGTCCTGGACTACACCAGAAAGCAGTTTTTTTGGAACAGAAAAGAATATTTCTGAGCAGAAATATTATTTTATGCACAGTAAAAGTTCATTCCTGCCCTGAAAGTGCTGCTTTCTGTGCATATATATTACATGCAAACTGAATGCAGAATAATATCACTAGTCTGTGAAAGCTGCAGAGAAAAAATTGCTACGATTACTCTTTTCTTTCTCCAAGAATCAAGTCAGTGAAAAAGTGACTCTCTAGATAATTCATAGAGTGGATAAAAAAATTGAGAGGATGATTTTTCAAATATAGGAGAAAAAAAAAAGAATCAGTATGCTCAGCAGGAATGGGGAATGTCTAGACTGCCACATGTTCTTTGACTTCAGTTTCCATTGGTCCTAGACAACAAAGTCAATGTCAAGGATTATGGGATTTGTAGTCTAACAACATCCAGAAGAACTCATGTTCATGATGATTAGCATATAACAGGCTGGGAGAGAATTACTGGATGATGCAGGTCATCCCAAGGGGATCTCCGATCCTCATGCAAACCTCTCCCTATGTATTTCTGTGCAGAAAAACTTTGGGATGTGCAAATACTGGATGAAAATTATGCAAAATTCTCACGTCTATATCATTCTTCCAAACTGGTAACGAATAATGGTGAATATTCTTTTCATCCCCTGGCATACACACATTTTTTCAAGGCAACATTAGCACCCTAAGATTCCTCCCAGAGCACTAGAGAAAAGGGTCAGGCCCAGGTCTTGAGATCTGTAAACCCAGCTATGCCATCATTCAATCAAGTTTGCCTTTAAAATAATATAATCTGATGGCAGTGAGTTTGATATAGTTTGTCACTTGGGATGTTCTTTGGCTTTCCTTGACTGTAAGACTTGGAAAACATAAAGAGATGGGACAGAGAGGAAGTTGTTATATTAAAAAACTCTATCGTTTCACCCCTCCTCCTTGGCCTGCATATTTAAGTCCATTATTTATCCAATTATACTTCAATACAAAAATTCAGCCCCACTAAAGACTTTAATTAGAGGATTAAATAAGGTACGCAGCTACTGTAATGAAGTCCAGCCGAGAGGACCGATCAGAATGGATTAGGAAAGGGCAAATCAGGTTGACTGGCATCTCTCTGCCTCACTCCGACACTTTCCTTGCTTCCGCCCACTTTCGGAAAGGATTGCTGTAGATATTTGCTTAGATTTAAAAATACTAACAGAATGATGTACTTATCCATGGCAACTCAGGAAGAGGGTTTTGTCAAAACATGTCTGGCACTTACACACGAGACCAAATAGATGTATATAAAGCAAGCTGCAGGAGGCTGTGCTTTGAAGTTTGCAGTTTTATAGCTGTTTCTGCTTGCTTTTTATTTATCTGATGAAAAATTAATTCAAATTCCTACTTTAGAATTTTTTTGTTTGTTTGAGTCTTCACAACATATGAGGAGCCACATTTCTTCAAAATCTGTCTATCCATTCATCCATTCGTTCATCCAAATGCACAATCATGTGTGTTTTTGTGCAACACTGCCATTAGTGTGCCTTCAAGCCATTTTTGACTGATGGGAATCCTAAGGTGAACCCATCATGGGATTTTATTGGCAAGATTTGTTCAGAGGAGGTTTGTCATTGCCTTCCCCTGAGGCTGAGAGTGTGTGACATGCCCAAGGTCATCCAGTGGGTTTCATGGCCATGCTGGGAATCAAACCCTTATTACTGTCTTCATTTCTGACTTGTGGTGGTCCTATGGTGAACCTATCACAGCTTTTTCTTGGCAAGGGACATTCAGAGGAGGGTTGCCTTTGCCTTTTTCTGAGGCTGAGAGAGTGTAGGTTGCCCAAGGATACCCAGTGGGTTTTCATTGTTGAGTAGAAATTTAAACCCTGGTCTCCAGAGTTATAGCCCAACGCTCAAACCACTACAACATTCTGGCTCTCTTATTAATGTATCTGAATCTCACATTTAGGGCTAGAATTATGAGAGGGGAGGATGCTTCCCAACAACCCTAACTCTCAGTATCCTTAATTCAGCACCATCCAAAATAATTGAATACACAGGGATTCAAAGCCAAATTTTTAAAGAGCAATAATCCTCCCACCCGGATGGACAAGTCTGTTGATTTTGCTTTCTCCTACATGATGTTTTTTTTAAAATCCCATCTACCGTCAAAGTTGTGAAATCTGCAAATTTTGGAATGTTCTTTGGTGTTTTTTTTTAAACTCAACCCAAAGAACATCCTAATTCATCCATCATCCCTATAAAAATATACACGCTACCCTTTTCTCTCTTTAATTACTTGTATATGTTTTTTTTTTAAAAAAAGAAAAATCATATATGCTTCTGTTGACACTTATAGCCTTTGGCTTGCATGACAAAATGCGCGTGCATTTTAGTATCTGCATAGCTTGGAATTTTCCTTGAAATAAATAATTAGTGATAGTTCTAAGGCTTTCCCATGTTAATTAGACAAAGTTATAGTTCTTTTCTTTTCTTTTCTTTTTAAAATAAACTTTCCTGTTTATTATAATTAATTAGAATACAGTGGTCCTTCCACATTTGTTGGGGTTAGGGACACAGGACCCCCCTGAATGTGGAAAAACCACAAATAAAAAAACACTATTCTTTTTATCTAAGCAAACACCTCTCTAGGAGTCTCCAGGTCCTCCAGTGCAACTCTGTGGTCAACATCTGCCAGAAGGTGATCATAGACTCATGCTGGAAGACCTACAAAAGCCTATAGATCCATGTTGGCGAACCTATGGCATGCATGCCAGAGATGGCACATGGAGCAGGGAAGAGGAGGAAAAGGCACATGGCCAGAGAGGCAGCTGAAAGCCCAAGATCAGGGGTAGGCAACCTTTCCCCTTTAAGGGCTGAGGGACTTCAGCTCCCAGAATCCCAGGAACTCTTGGCCAACATGGTAGTGGTAGGGGAAAAAGTCCCATTCCCCCTGGAAGTCCCACCTCCAGCACAGGGTAACACCTGATGCTGGAAGGCCATTTAGTTTGGGCACTCGATGCCTAAAAGGTTCACCATCACTGTTCTAGCACAACTCTATGGTCAACCTCTGGCAGAACTGCGCTAGAGGAACTAGGAATTCCTAGAGAGAACATATTAATCAAAACCACCAATAATCCAATCTGCAAAAGTCTAAGCCACAAATATGGAGGGTAGTTATAATTTTTTTTTAAGTAGGAAAAAAAATACCTCTGACCTACTACTAGCTGCTGTACTGTGCTACAAAACACATGTTTGCAGGCATTGAATGATGATTATTTGATGTTTTAATTTGTTGCCTTCTTTGTATTAATATGTATTATTTTTTTATTTTGTAGAATGTACACCATTGGCAGGCTTTTTATCTATTTTTATCTATTTTATTGACTGTATGTACAGTGCTGTGTAAATGTACAGCGCTATATAAATAAACTGTAATAATAATAATAATAATAATAATAATAATAATAATAATAATAATAATATTGTCCTGTCCTCTTCCTTGTTGCCCCAGTTCCCACAGCACGCCTCACATTGTAACTGTGTGATATTCCCCCTCTTACATTTAGCAAGCCCACACCCATAACTCTAAAAGGAACTAAAAGAGTTGTAGAGATGCCACAAAAGAAGAATAGACATTGCTTGACACATTATGGTTGTAATGCAGCATACTCCTACCTCAGGGACTGGTAAAAGAATAAAATGCAAGCCATTAATGATTTACAATTAGCTATTTCTAGTTAGTTACTTCAAAGCTCCATTAGAAACATCCTACTGTTTTTAATATAAAGTTAGCCTGTTGTCGGCATGAGTCTAAATCCACATTAGCAGCAGCATCAGACATCAGGCACATGAAACCAAGCTTGCTTTGAATCTAAGAAACTGGAGCCACTGGTTCGGTGGAAAATTTTTGC